AAAAACTTAGTTTTTCTTTAATCTCGTTAAATTGAAAAATAATTAAAAAGATACTCTTTAGTATAATGTGATTTAATTTTTAATAACTGATAAAAATAGTTAATTAGATTGATTGCTAGCCTCGGCTTCGCCTCGGCTAATCATATACCTATTTCTAAAAAAAGCTTGAAGCTTAAAATAATTATTTGTTTTTATAATATAAAAAATGCTCCTAAACTAGAAAGTTTTATCTCTGTGTGTAAATTTTTGTGTCGTTCTAGAGACAACATTAGCTTTGTTAGTAATTGTACCAAAAATATTTTTTTATTAAATTTATCACTAACAGATTTGAATAATATCGAAAGTCAGGTACTAGTAAAAAAGTTAAAAAGCAAAAATAAACAATTTTTATTTTTTTCAAATTAGTTATACTTAATTAGGTATAATTTTATAATAAATGAATATGTAATTGAAGAAGTTTCAAAATCAAAATTGAATTAATTGATGGTCTAAAGAAAAAATAAAATATTTCGAGTTTTGTCGGAAGATTGGTTATAAAATAGTATATTATGTGATTAGGAGTAAAAGTGATAGTTTATGTGGCGAAGCTGAACCACATAAACTCACTTTAACTCCAAATAACATATACTATTTTCTTCGCAAACATATTCAGATCGAGAATAAAAAGCTACACTATAATTAGCAAGTAAATGAATAAAATAATTGGGACGCTTTGCAAGTAATAAAATAATAATAACGCTTATAAACAACCATTGGAATTTGTATTGACATTTTTGAAAGTGTTTATTAATTTAATTAGTGCAGTTAGTAGTGCAAAATGTAGAATGCTGATGATCTACAATGCACCTTTTCAGAAGCAACGAAAAAGACAAGAAAAAAAACAACAATAGTAAATGTCAATAATGTCATGGTAAAAGACCAAAAATAGACTTTCTACTTCATGGCTGAAAAGTAAATTTTTTACTTGTGACATTTGGTTATAAAAGTGCTCACTTTCTGTAGTCTACTTCTCTTATTGATTATTCGTTAAGTTACATTTAAGTATTATTAAGTT